ACACTCTCACTGTGACCCCCCCCATGCAGCCAGGCAATGGTGTGTGTCCCCCCCCATCCTCCGTGGGGGGAATCTGGGGGTGCAAACTCCCCCCAACACCCCGTGGGAGGAAGCAGGGGGTACAAGCCCCCCCCCAGCGCAACGTAAATATTTAGAATAACTCCTCTAGGAGGGACCAACACTTCCACCTCCTGCCTGGACTTGGCACGAAGGATGTCGGTGGCTTCTGGGCATGATTCAGCTGGAGATCAGCATCTTCCAGGACCGAAGCTTTAAATATAGAAATATTATTTTATTTTAAATAACCAACCAAGCTTTCCACGCTTCCAGATGTATAGAAACCAGATTTATCTACCAAGAGGTGCCTCAAAATTAAAGATTTGGCTACTACATAGCTGTTTGCTGAAGCGTCTGCCTTCCCCTGTATGTTTGTAAAGCTGTTTTGGGGGATTTTAAGACAAAATAATGCAAATTAACAGTTTTTCTCAGTCATGGGGGGGTGACAGGAAGCCTGGACCAAGGTTTGCCCAAACCTGGCACGACCCAGGGGGTTTCACTTGCAGTTTTGCTTTGGCATCACGTTGTCCCCGAACCATTTCCCTTTTCCAGGAGGTTTTACATCCTTTATTTGTGGCTTTTTTTTTTGGGGGGGGGGACAATTTTATCACTTCAGCACAATTGGGCGTGCAAAAACCCACCTGCAAAAATTTGGTCATGCTTCCCCTTTCAATGGGATGTTTAAAAACGGGGGGTACACTCTCACTGTGACCCCCCCCATGCAGCCAGGCAATGGTGTGTGTCCCCCCCCATCCTCCGTGGGGGGAATCTGGGGGTGCAAACTCCCCCCAACACCCCGTGGGAGGAAGCAGGGGGTACAAGCCCCCCCCCAGCGCAACTGGGCATCCAAACCCACACCTGCAGCCCCCCCAACCCTGTTGGGGGGGGACAGGGAGCCCAAATCTCCATCTGCAGCCCCCCATGGGAGGAAACAGGGGGTGCAAACCCCCATGAGGAGCCCACCCCAGGGCAACTGGGCACCCAAACCCACACCTGCAGCCCCCCCAACCCCGGGGGGGGATGACAAGGAGCGCAAACCCCCACCTGCAGCCCCCCATGGGAGGAAACAGGGGGTGCAAACCCCCCCCAGCAGCCCACCCCAGGGCAACTGGGCACCCAAACCCACACCTGCAGCCCCCCATGGTGGGAAAGAGGGGGTGCAAACCCCCCTGAGGAGCCCACCCCAGTGCAATTGGGCACCCAAACCCACACCTGCAGCCCCCCATGGGAGGAAACAGAGGGTGCAAACCCCCCCAGCAGCCCACCCCAGTGCAACTGGGCACTAGGAGGGACCAACACTTCCACCTCCTGCCTGGACTTGGCACGAAGGATGTCGGTGGCTTCTGGGCATGATTCAGCTGGAGATCAGCATCTTCCAGGACCGAAGCTTTAAATATAGAAATATTATTTTATTTTAAATAACCAACCAAGCTTTCCACGCTTCCAGATGTATAGAAACCAGATTTATCTACCTAGAGGTGCCACAAAATTAAAGATTTAGCTACTACATAGCTGTTTGATGAAGCGTCTCCCTTCCCCTATATGTTTGTAAAGCTGTTTTGGGGGATTTTAAGACAAAATAATGCAAATTAACAGTTTTTCTCAGTCATGGGGGGGTGACAGGAAGCCTGGACTGAGGTTTGCCCAAACCTGGCATGACCCAGGGGGTTTCACTTGCAGTTTTGCTTTGGCATCACGTTGTCCCCGAACCATTTCCCTTTTCCAGGAGGTTTTACATCCTTTATTTGTGGCTTTTTTTTTTGGGGGGGGGGACAATTTTATCACTTCAGCACAATTGGGCGTGCAAAAACCCACCTGCAAAAATTTGGTCATGCTTCCCCTTTCAATGGGATGTTTAAAAACGGGGGGTACACTCTCACTGTGACCCCCCCCATGCAGCCAGGCAATGGTGTGTGTCCCCCCCCATCCTCCGTGGGGGGAATCTGGGGGTGCAAACTCCCCCCAACACCCCATGGGAGGAAACAGGGGGTGCAAACACCCCCCCAGCAGCCCACCCCAATGCAATTGGGCATCCAAACCCACACCTGCAGCCCCCCCAACCCTGTTGGGGGGGGACAGGGAGCCCAAATCTCCATCTGCAGCCCCCCATGGGAGGAAACAGGGGGTGCAAACCCCCATGAGGAGCCCACCCCAGGGCAACTGGGCACCCAAACCCACACCTGCAGCCCCCCCAACCCCGGGGGGGGATGACAAGGAGCGCAAACCCCCACCTGCAGCCCCCCATGGGAGGAAACAGGGGGTGCAAACCCCCCCCAGCAGCCCACCCCCGTGCAATGGGGCGTGCAAACCCTCACCAGCAGTCTCCTACCCCACTGTGGGAGGAAGCAGGGGGTGCAAACCCCCCCCCACCCCC